TATCAAGTAGTAGAGTATCTGCCTAGCAACTGCAAAGCTCTAAGTTTAAACCCCAGTACAAACAAAACAGAATATACAGAATAATCCAGTTAATAAATGGGCAAATTAATTGAGCAGATAGTTTTCAAAAGAAGAAGTACAAATAGCTAAGAAATACTTTTTAAAATGTTCAACATCCTTGGCCAGAAAAGAAATGCAAACCAAAACATCACTGAGATTCACTCTCCCCCTAGTCATGAAGGATATCATTAAGAAAACAAACAAAAAATGCTAGCATGGATGTGAGGCATGAAGGGTGGGGACGTACCAGAGAAGACGGAAGACATCCTAATACACTGTTGGTAGGAATGCATGTAAACTAGTGCAGGCACTATGCAAATTAGTATGAAGGCTCCTTAAAAAACTAAAGATAGAACTACCATATGATCCTGCTATACCACTCCTGGACATATATCTAAAGGAATGTAAGTCAACATACAGTCAAGATACCTGCACACCTGTGTTTATAGCAGCACTAGTCACAATAGCCAAAATGCGGAATCAGCCTAGGTGCCCATCAACTGATGAACAGATAAAGAAAATGTGGCATATATACCCAAGGGAGAATTACGCAGCATGCAGGGCCACTTGAATTCAAGCAGAAAATTTTTGTGGCCTGGAAGTATCATATGACAAAGTTCACAATAAAGCAGGAGGGACCAGAAACAGAGCAAGAAAACCCCAGAAGGAAAAAGCCTCAGAGAAAAAGAGCTGTAAAATGTGGAAAGAAACTTCTTTCAAGTTATTGACTGACCTCAGAGCTGCATGTGTACAAGGGAGACTCCACAGAGCCTAGAATTTGCAGTTTGAGTTCCGATAAAGTAGAGAAAGTTGGCAAAAGGCCATTGCTTCTCAATACCCACCTTCATTGTATAAAGCAAAGTCTTCACAAGTTCAAATGGAGAGATTTAAACTGTGTGCAAAAATTGGAAGACTCACTATTGTGACTAGATTAGTTCTCTCCAAATTTACCTCCAGCTTAAGAGCAATAAATTTGAGCAGACTTTTTGTAGATGTATCAAAAGTTAAACACTGGCTGGGCAACAGTGGCTCATGCCTATAATTCCTGGCTACTTGAGAGGATGAGATTGGGAGGATCAGAGTTCAAGACCAGCCTGGGCAAATAGTTTAAGAGTTCTCATCTTCACAATGACCAGAACAAATGGACTGGAGGTGTGTCTCAAATGGTAGAGTACCTGCTTTGTAAGCATGAAGCCCTAAGTTAAAACTCCAGTCCCACCAAAAACAAAAAGTTAAACATTTACTTATCACATGACATAGTCACTGCACTTCTGTATATTTACCAAAAAGAAATGAAAATCTTTGTCTATAGAAATTATTGTATATGAATATTCATTGCAGCTCTATTTGCAATAGTCCCGAACATGAAACAACTCAAATGTTCATAAAATGATGAATAAATAAAAATATCATGGTACATCCATAAAATGGAATACTACTCAATAATGAAAGCAAAGGAGTGACAAATGCAGCCACAGATGAAATTTCAAAAGCGTCACATTGAGTCAAAGAAGCCAAACCCAAAGAGTACATCTTGCATAATTCCACTTATATGATATCTTAGAAAAACAAATCTAATCAATAGTGACAAAAACCAGATCTGTGATTGCCTGAGGCCAGAATGAGGGAGACATTTCACGGGAAAATGTATAAGCAACCTTTTGGGGGTAATGGTAGTATTCCGATGGTGAATGTGGTGACTCAGATGCGCACATCTGTCAGCATCCACAAAACTACATGCTTAAAATTCATGTATTCTTATTGCATGTAAACTACACCTCAAAAATATTTTGTAATCAAAGAATTTATAACCAATAAGTTGGAATAACCTGTACCAAGCAGCAATATTGATGACCGAAAATAGACCATATTGAAAAGATATTAAGTAGATCGAGACAGATTAAGCCATTATAGAAGAGAAAATAATCTCAAAATGCAATGACTCAAACAAGAAAACAAAATAGATATTGATTTCTCTCTGGAGTAACTGTCCAGTTAGGTTCTGACCTTGAAGTCACCAAGAACCCAGATGTCTTAGAAGCTCTGTTGTCCTCTGCCTGTGGTCCAACATGGGGTTGATGGGCCCATGAGGAGAAGTTAGGAGGTTTCTGAATTTAAATGGGAAAAAAACATTGCATCTTTATTTTAACTATCCACGAAATAAAGTTTAGTGATCCTTTCAATTATTTGACAACAGTCAAATTAGTTTTGTGGTATTTTCATATTACATTTTAAAATAACCTTGAAATACCATTCATATTTATAAATGCTTTGAAGTTACTGTAAATATAATACCTCTCTGCTAAATTTTTAATAAAAATTGCTATCTAACAAACTGAGTTGTTTAAAATGTTGATTACTGAACCTCAACATAATTGGCTTTGATTATCACTCTCTATATCTTCTTTTACACATATAAATGTTATTTGGAGAAGTTCCAAACCTTCATCAGATGGCCAAAGGATCCAATGTTACATAGAAGTGTTAGGAACCTTTTGTTCTAGGACTTTCTCATCATGCCCATGGCCAAGACAAAGTTGCTGCCAGATACAGTTTGCAGCAGGTAGGAAGAAGAAAGAGAGGCTGTTGTAGGAACATGTGTTTATATTCCATTTTGGAGAACAAAGTCCCAAGGCCATACCTAAATACCCAAAGGCCAGGAAATGTAATATAACTGGGCTGCCACCTGCCCAGCCACAAGTTTCCATTACTAATGGTGGAAGGGATAAGAAAGCTGTGTCTGCACATTGATGTAATAATGTCTGAGGAAGACCAGATAAGACATTAGGATCCAAATACGTTAAGAAGAATGGTGAGACCAGTCACAAAGATAGGAAGAGGAGGAAGAGGCAGAGGACTGTGAAAAGGAAAAAAAAAATTTTTTTCTCCCTTTATTTTATTTTTAACATTTACTTACATGTGTATATATTGTTTGTGCCACCTCCCCCTCCCCCATACCCCCTTTCTTTTGGGTTCACACAAACAAATCGTGATTAACAGTCTAAGAAATAAATGCAGGGATAATTGCAGTATGTAGGATGGGATTAATAAATTGCCAAGACTCTGTTATCTAAGAAATTCTTTCTTAGAAAGAAGCACTCTGGCCACTCTCAAAGAAGCCAACTCTGGACAATTTATAGTGTATAACTGGAAATGTTAGACCAGGGAAATGTTAGAAGTAGAATTGATTGATTGTCAGGACCAGATCTTGTGCTGTACAGATCAGCAATCCACTGAGAGTAGATGAGGCCTAAAATGATTCTGCTCCTGGGTGAGAGAATCTGCTTATAGAATGCCCAAGAAGGAACAGAAACTTAAGATGATACAACCCAGTGTGTAACTAAGGAATGCATAATAGATTAGGGGATCACAGAAGGAATAACTTATTAACTAAAACTAGTGAGGGAAGAAAAGTAGTACTCAAGCTGAAAGTCAAAAAATAAACAGGAATTTTCCAGACTTACTGGAGCATGGTGGGGATTGGAGGGTGTCTGTGTAGTGGGGTAAGGGGTTGGAGATTTCAGGCAGTAGAGGGCTGGCACTTACTAAGAAGTACTGAAGAATAAGGCTTTGCCAGGCATTGGTAGCTCACACCTGTCATCTTAGCTACTCAGGAGGCAGAGATCAGGAGGATCACAATTTGAAGCCAGCCCAGGCAAATAGTTTGCAAGACCCTATATCAAAAAAAGCTTCACAAAAATAGGGTTGGAGTGGCTCAAGGTGAAGGCCCCCGAGTTCAAGTCCCAGTATCGAGAAAAAAAAAAGAATAAAGCTTAGTCAGTGACCAACAGCAATGTTAATGTTAACTTTATTGATTCTCTTTATCTTCAGTTTATTCCAAGGTACATGACACATATTGAGTAAACACTCAATATTAAAAAAAATAATAAGTGAATAAACAGAATGAGCATAAATATCTATGAAAAGGAGGTTGAGGCTCTAGAATTCCTAAAAGTACAATTGTAACCATGCTTGATTTTTTTTCAGTATTGCTGAAACTTACCCAGATACACTATTTTCTAGGAAAGGAAAAATGAATCAGACCACATATTGTAATTCACACATTATAAAATTCACTTAAAAGTCAGAAAACTAGAGTGAGCATCAGGATAGTGGAGTTGGTCTAAAAAAACAGATTCTGTTTTTTAAATTGCTCATTCAACATATATTTAAACTTTCTTTTTTTTAATTTTTTGGTGGTACTAAGGTTTGATCTCAGGGCTTCATGCTTGCTAGACAGGTGCTCTGGCTTGAGCCACATCTCCATCCCTTCTTGCTCTAGTTATTTTGGAGATAGGGTTTCTCTTTTTGATGATTCTTCTATTTTAAGCTTCCTGTCCCCATAGATGGGATAACAGACATGTGCTATTGTGCCCAGCTATCGGTTGAGATGGGGTCTTAAAAACATTTTCTGGGGCTGGCCTGAAACCATGATTCTCCTTATCTTAGCCTCTCAAGTAGATAGGATTATAGGCATGAGCCACAAACACCTGGCTTCAAACTTTAAGGGCATTTTTAGATGGCATATTGATCATAAGCTTATAGTCCTATCAGATTTCCCTAGACCTCACTCCCAAAAAAACATGCTGATGAATTAATGTTTCTGCTTCTCACTGAAATTGTGCAAAGTTCAACTATGATAACTGTTATGAATGAGAAACTACAGAGTGAAAGGAGAGACTATGCAGGGGCTTTGATTCCCATGTCAAGGTCAAGAAGGAGGAAACAACAATCCTAACTAAAAGGTGGATAAACAGTAGCCCATAGGCAGACAATGGGATTGGTGGTATGTCTGTAAGAATGGGTAAAGAAGAAAATGGCTCACCAGCAGGAACGAAGTCTCAGAGCAAATTACAGATGAAAAATAAAGTAATGAGTGCAGAAGGACTCCCTTCTCATGTGATTCTCCCTCTTGTGTCGTCTTTCCTAGGACACTCATCATGTCCTCAAATATGATGCTTCAAAAAATGCTGGTGTTGACATCTCTTTTAGTAGTTGCTTGGATAATTTTCACAATTTCTCAAAACTCCACAAAAGTAGGAACATTTTTCTCCACTTCAGCTTGAAGCCCGCACCCGTGGGACCTGTATTGCCAGAACCCGTTAACAATCCTGCTTTTCCTCTCCCACTCCAACTCTGCTTTTTTCTCTGCTATACCTCACTTCACAGGGCTTGTGAACACTGACTATCCATTTCCTCCATTCTTATTATCCTCAATCCATTCTAATCAGGATCCTATAACCCAAATGCCCCCAAAATGTCCTTTGATGAGGTAACCAACTTCCAAGTCACTAAATATGTGTCACTAAAACCAGGTTACTCCTTAACCATCTAAGTCCAGTTTGCCTTGTCAGTTTATTTTGCCTCTGATTTCCTTTTCCAGGCAAACATTATTTTTAGTAACCCAGTATCCCATATAGTTTCTGGATATTAATTAATAATTAGAAAAACTTTCCAACTCCAGGATTATGTAGGAATCCATTTGTGTTTTCTTATATGTGTACTGATACAGTTCCATTGTCTATATGTAACTAGATAGAGTTTGTTCTGTAAATGACTTGAGGTACTCATCTAATTTAAGTTTTCCCAATGGCTGTCCACTTATACTAATCTCTTAATAAAAAAGTCAATCTTACTCCCCTCTGATTTTGCATATTAAATTTAGCATACTGAAATTTCATGGACAATGATGTCTGTTTCTAAGTTTTGATTCTGTTCTATTGTATTTTTATTCATGCATCACTACCACCCTATTTTAATTCTAAAGATTCTACCCACACCCACCATCTTTCTGCTTTTAACCCCCATATGTTTTTAGCTATTCTTTCTTATTTGTCATTTCAAGTGAGCTTTCTAATTGACCCATCAGGTCCAGAAAATCCTGAGCATATTTTTCATTAAATGTGTAAGTTAACTTTAAGAAAAACAGTATCTTCATGATGTTTTCTGACCAAGATTGTTGTTTTCCTCCTTCGTTTTTAATCTTAAGTAGTATTTTATGAATTTTCCTCATGTAAATATCGGACACGTGAAACATCTACCTAGGTAGTTTAATGTTATTTTGCTATCATACATCAGGTCATCAATTCCACATTTATCGTGTCTCTGGTTTTAGTAAATTTACATGAAAGCTATAGATTTGGGGGGACTGGGTTTTGAACTCAGAGCTTTGAACTTGCAAAGCAGGCACTCTACTGCTTGAGACAGTCCTCCAGTCCATTTTTGGAGTCATTATTTTGGAGATAAGATCCCACTGTTTGCCCATACTGGCCTTGAACTTTGATCCTCCTGATTTCAGCTGCCCAAGAAGTTAGGATTATAGGTGTGAGCCACAGGCACCTGGCTATAGATTTTTATACATTGGTTTATTACTTGCTGTCTTGCTAAATCCTATATACAGTTTGTAGTCATGGTTCCACTGCTACATTGCAATTTTTCCAGAGAAATAACCATTACATCTAAAATAATAGTTATTTTAACTCTTCCATTTTATTCCATTGTCTTTAATTGCTTTCTCTTGTCTAACTACATTAAATAATACCTCCACCCCAATATTAAATAGTAATGGAACAAAGGGCATCCTTGTCTTCTTCCTGATTCTAGTTGCAAACCCTCTAGTGCTTCACTTCAACTAAGATACTAACTTTTGAACTAAAATTTTATGGGCAGAAAAAAATCCAAAAATTTCTTTTTGCTGAGTTTTTTTTGTTTTTTGGTTTTTGGGGGGGGGGTTTTTGGTGGTGCTGGGGGTTGAACTCAGGGCCTCATACTTACTTGGCAGGCGCTCTACCACTATAGCCACTCCTCCACCCCTGCTGGAGTATTTCTGACTCAGTGCTAAGTGATTTGAAGTAAAATCATTTTACTTCACTTAATGAAGCAGTCAACAAGAAAATTCAACTTTTCATCTCTCACTCCACTCTCCAACCAAGTTTATATTTGTATTGAATCTACATTGTCAGAGTATATTCTATTCCTTAGAAGCATGATATAGACTTAATTCTGTAAGTGAATAGGTAATTCTTACTGCAAACCATTATATCAAACTTTCCAATCATTTTGGTTGTTTGAAGTTGATTCTCTTTAATAAATTCCTTAGGTAGGACTTGGGCAAAATAGTCCCTGAGTATTCATAAGAACTTGTCTGTGGTTTTTATAATTAAAAGGTCAATTTGTCTTACAGCATTCCTCATTCATATGTTCTATCCTTGAGTTCCTTAAATATTTTGCTCCACTAAATTTTAAAGTATTAATGTTAAAAATAAAGAAAATAGAATTTAAAGAAACAAACTAACAATAAAATCAGATGCCATATAAGGAGCAATCTCTAAGAAAATATAATTTGGACGACCCTAGCAAAAATTACTACATACAAAAGCAATGTGAGTCAGAATTACAAGCTAACGTTATAATCAGCCAAAGTTTTAGTAGAAAAAAATTATACCTTTTTCAGATACTTTTAAATCAAACAGACCTAAGTTTAGTAAAATACACACACACACACACACACACACACACACACACACACACACACACGGGGTCTAAACACAACTAAGAATTGAACTAACAACACAATTGAGAACTGAACTAGTAGATGAACACTGAGAAGCAGGAAGGCAGTTTAGAAAGTGAACCAAGGTCTGTTTTTATATTAAACACTGTTTTTGCTCTGTTGTAGAATTTGTTCAGTTGCTTATTAAATATTTCTCTATAATTGCTAGATTTCTTATCTTTCGATTCATTACTACACAGTTTCCTTTACCTTGTTGAGCATAGTTATAAAAGCTGTTTACAGGTGATTATCTACTCATTCTAACATTTAGTCTAGCTCAGTGTTGGTCTTCATTAATTGTTTTTCTTTGAAAGGAACTAGATTTTTCTGATTCCCTCTATGCTGGGCAATTTTATTTGTTTGTTGGTTAGTTTGTTTTCAGTGTTTTTTTGTTTGTTTTTAATGGGCTTTATTTTTTTCATTTGTTTGTTTCCTTGTTTTTGTGTGTTGGTTGGTTTGGTTGGTGTTTGGTATTTTGAGAGAGGGTCTCACTATGCAGCCCTAGCTAACCTTGAATTACTGTCTCAGCCTCCAAGGGCTGGGATTACAGGTTACAAGTAGGCACTACCACACACATCAGGGTAAATTTTAACTATATCCTTGACACTGTGACTATAATGTTATGGACACTGGTTCTGCTTTACTCCTCAGAATTGGGTTGGCACTTTTGATGTGGCAAGTGACTAATCTGAATCAATATTAACTACAGACTGGTTCACTTATAGTTTTAAGTAATTCAAATGTCAGTATGTAGCATTTTATGGGCTTTGAGACTTGAACTTAGAGTTTAAAATTCATGAGTTTGAGGCCAGACGAGACTACACATCTCAAAAAAATATAGTGGTCAAAAAGGCATTAATGTCAAAGAATGCCTTTTGACAACTGCAATCTCAATTATATACATTTCTATAAGTTTGAAAACAATGAAAAATGGGATTTTTGTCTTTAATCCATTACCATTAAAATATAAATTACACTAAGAGATTTTTCTCTCTGTAACCATCTTTGTGATCCTGAATTCATCCATGTAAAATGATGAAAATACACACACACACACACACACACACCTGTACCTGTCTAAACTATCTGTGTTTGTAAATATATATACATTTATGGAGAGAAAGAGAGAATCTAAAAGCCACATTCATGAGTGGAAATGGCCTTAACTTTTCCTGTATTGTGTTTATCAAGTGTTGGTATAAAGTGTATTCATGTCTCATAAAACTAATTGAACAATTTTTCCTAGTTACAAGTTAGTTATATGTGTATTAAGCAATAAAAGCATCCAAACATCTGTTGGTGGTAGGTATAATGAAAAAAATTTTATCAGGCTATTATTATTGTACATATTGCATCATTGTTTTTGATCAAATTTTTTATCCCCTAATATGCAAATTAAGGTTTTAAAAAATGGTTTCCAGATACATACATAATACATATTCTTACTTGTGATTTTACTTGTATCTCTTTTGTATTCAAACTCATCATATGTAAAAATGACAGAGAACAGGATCATTTCATAGGATGACCTTTCTTGTCATTACAGCTTTGGTCTGCTCTAAATATATCCATCTCCTTCCATCACATGAATACCTCTACAAAATCCTCATGCCCTGAAACACCAACAACACCAGTCAAGTCACCAACAGAGACTGAGCTACGAGTCAGGGAGATCGCGAAGAAACTAGACCAGCTAATCCCACCCAGACCCTTCACCCATGTGAATACCACCACCAGCACCAAACACAGCACAGCCACCATCCTCAATCCTCAAGACACATACTGCAGGGGGGACTTGTTGGATGTCCTACTGGAGGCTAGGGACCACCTGGGACACAGGAAGAAATATGGTGGGGACTTCCTGAGGGCCAGGATGTCCTCCCCAGCCCTGAAAGCAGGAGCTTCAGGAAAGGTGACAGATTTCAACAACGGCACCTACCTTGTCACCTTCACTCTGTTCTGGGAGGGCCAGGTATCCCTGTCTGTCCTACTCATCCACCCAAGTGAAGGGGTGTCTGCTCTCTGGAGAGCAAGGAACCAAGGCTATGACAGAATTACATTCCTGGGTAAATTCATTAATGGTACCTCCCAAGTTATCACAAAATGTCACCTGGTGCCAAACTCAAACTCTGAATTATGTGAATATCTGTATGGTAGAGGCCAAGAAGTCTTCTATTGCACGAAGCCTCAACACATGCCCTGTGATGCCCTAACCCATGTGTCTACCAGAAATCAAAAAGTTTCATATCTTACTGTCAAAGAAAACATCCTCTTCCAGAAGTGAGTATCTTTTTCAGTACAATGTGAGGGAATCCCAGTAAAGATCCATTACTCACCTCAGTATTGAGCATAACCCTCTCAGATGCTTCCTCTAGTCAAGGTTCTGGGTCAGATATGTGGCATCTTCCTGGGGACCCCTATTCACCACTCACTCCATAGTTTGTATTTTCATTTAAATTTTTAATAAAAGAGGGGTGCACATGTTAGAACACTGTAATATGCATGCCTATACTTCTCCTGAAATGCTATTGTCAGATTCAGTCATGCATTTTACTATAAACCTAGGTTTTACAAAATGTGTTCTGTAGAAAACCACTCAGCTATGGTTCATAGATATTCCACCAAAAAAATTTTTTTGATAAGTGTGTCATAACATCATGCTTCTTCACCTCCCTTATCATATGCAGTAGGTTCTATCTCTTAAATATCTCTTTGCATTATTCATCCATTTCTCTGCACGTCTAGTGCTCTATCCAAGTTCATCACCATCATCTCATCTAGATTATTGTGAAAGCTTCCCAACTGCTCTCCTTCCCTCAATCACGCCTGCTTCTAATCCATCTCCTCAGGTTGTAGCCTAAATAATCTTTCTAAAAAATCTCACTACTATGGGTAATCTCCAGTTCATTTCATGATCAGCTATACCTCAGTATGCACTGTTCTTGGTGGAGGAGTCCTTCATCCTCCCCAAGTTGTGACCTAGCAATTTCTGGAAGCCTCTGGTTGAACAGGCCTTCCTCCAACACAGGTGTCAGCATATTTCTCAATCAAACACGTGGCCGTGCCTTTCTCCTCCTGCTTACAGATTCTTACTTCCTTATCTCCCTATTCTCTACTGAGCTGGGAAATCCTTCGTTCCTTAGAATGAACCATCAGGGTCTCTTCATGTGTCACTTTGATGATTGCAAAAGGTAACTGTTACCACAAATTCCAGAACTCTGAGACATACTCTAAAACACATACCAGTTCCTTGCTAATTTGCTAACTTCCATCTACTTCCTTTTCCTTTTCCATTCTGCCAAAAGTTATCCCCCACAGCGCGCACACACACACACACACACTCACACACACACACACACACACACATGGTGACAAAGTAAAATGCTAGGTTCCCAGCAATTCCTTTCTTAGCAATTTTCAAAGACAAGTTTAGATTATTTTTCCCTTAAGCTTTTAAAAAATATATTCAGTGGAAGAGTAAACACCAAAAATGGAAAAATAACATGTATTCTAGATTTATACCTAGTTACCCAACTGTTGGCTCCTGCTCTACAATCCCTGACTCACTTCTGAATAAGTAAAGCACAGTTGGGTTTCTGTTCCTACCGTTTTATCTCTGATGGCACAACTTACCAAATCTCTTTCTGCCCACTAACTTAAATCCAGTAATGATTATGCCCAAATCCCAATAATGATGACAACATGCTTATACTTTCATGATATTGGACCTGAAGAGACATCCATACCAAAGAATTGGGTACCACTTATATTGGTTGCACCTGGTATCTGAGCCCCCATTCTCCCCTTAACCTCTTCCTGCCTGCCTTCACTTACACACACGTACATATACACGTTTTTAAAAAGAGTTAAATAAAAGGGATGGGGGTGGGTAAAAACTTTTAAGCATGAAAAGTCAAATCATTTTTCATCAACTGTAGGAAAGAAATGCAGTGCCCATTTACCAATGCATCAGATTGAACACTACTTTCTGTCATCCACTTTGACAGACCAGGCAAATGATCACCTTCTTTCTTTAAATTTACAATTGTCAGAAAGAAAGTGTCTGGGGAAAAAAATGAAGTTGAACATAGCAGGAAACATAGATTAAAAAGAAAAGTAGGGATCGTAGGGATCCTATGGTAAGAGGTCTATGTGCCACCATGAGGAACCTAAACTCCTTAGGAAAGTGATGGGAGGCAATATATGGCTTTAAGCAATAATGCAGTTGCATTTTCAATTGGAAAGGGTGATCTCCAATTGTGTTGAAGAATTTAGGAGGAATAAAACTGAGACAGGCTGACCATTTAGAGGCTCACAGTAATTCAAGTGATTACATGAACTTGCATAGGTAATGAGGAGCAGATTGAGAATTTGCAGATTTGATAAATATTTTGAATATCAGGACACACTGACTGCCTGCAGTAGGTGAGTAGAGCTGCCCTAGACGTCAAGAACTCTCTGTAGGGTTCAAAGTCTTCTAAAATTCTAATCTATTTATAATACCCAATATATCTAAAATTTACAAGATAATGGTTGTACATTAACAAAAATTAAAAATTATCCTTCACTTACAAGCAGGTGATTCATGTTACCTGTGTTATGTGAACATCTGAGAAGCTAATTTATTGTCTTGTGTTTTTGAAGGTCCAAAGTGGGAGTTGAAATGATGAAAGACTTTAAACATATTCATGTCTCCCAGTGTAACAGTAAGTCTTTTCTGTCCTGTGATAGATGCTGCTTAGCCCATGTCTTATGAAGATTAATGTTTATTAGTGTTAACTCTATTAATTGTAAATTTTCCTAGTAGGTATCTATGATATCAAACATGCTGGAACATTAGAGAGAGAAATCAATTCAAGAAAATGATCTCAAAGTCTCATTATAACATATTTATCTTGATTTATCCAAAAGGAGAAAGTATTGATATCTTATATTCATATTTAAACCTAAGAATTCATACCCTAGAGTTTGAAGTGCTGTATAAATATATAATGGATACCCACAGCTTCAACATTGTGGATCTGGTTTCTGAATTCACTGTTAGCATAACCACCAACTTTTAGTTGACACACTTACCAATTTTATATGGCATTCCCATCTTAATAAATGTTTTAATGTCAAATATAAAGTAATGTTACATATAAAAGAATAATATTTATACTAGCTTAGCTTTATAATAACTTTCTATAAAGCCTATGTTGTTGGTAAACTAAGATAATGATTAACTGTCAATATTTATTCATTTATTCAGCAAATGTTGCTTGAGGGTCCAATAGATATGAGGCATTCTGGGAAATTGGAGAAAAACTGCTCAGTTTGTGATCTAAAAAATATTCAATCTACCAATTCTATAGAAAGCAAAATGCAGAAGGACTTATGTTCAAGTTAGTAGTTGACTGAGCCCTAAAAGATATTTATAATCAGAAAATGAGGTAAAAGAGAAATCTCATAAAGATCATGGGTAGAGTTGCCAGATTTAAGCAAATAAAAATGTAATTTCTAATTGCCTGTGTATGTACACATTGAGATAAAGAAAAGATATTAAATAAGATATACACTAAAAAAGTATTCTTTGCTAAAAGTAATTCAAATGTAGTGTGCTATTCTATGTTTTTTAATGTGATAACTCTAGACACAAAGAAAAATCATCATGGACCTTGTTCAATAGACCAATGAGATAAGAATATGGTAGAATGTAGCAAAGGATGAAGGTAGAAAGAGAAGCTAAAAACTAAATTATATAGGTTCTCAAGTGTCATGATGAGGATTTCAGTGTTAATATGGTAAAGTTTTAAAAGCCATAGAGACCAATACAGGAAGAAAGTGGTATGATCCATTTCATGCAATAAAAAAATGAATTCAAATGAAATAAAATTAGCATGAACTACAGAAAGACAATTTAAAATGTTACTATGGGACATAAAATAAAATACATAAATAGAAGAAAAGATACTGTTTCTGAATGGGCTACCCTCATGTTGAAAAGATGTCAGTTTTCTCTGCATTACTGTCTTATTGATACTATAACAAAGTGGCTTAAAACAAGAAACATGTAGGATCTTAGTTTCATAGTTCAGAAGCCCAACCTCAGTCTCATGGACATCAATTGAGGTATAGTAGGGCTATGGAGACTCTAGAGAAGAATCTGGTTTTTTGTCTTTTTCAGTTTTTAAAGGCTACCCACATTCTTGTTAGATCCCTTCCTCCATCTCCAAAACCACAATAGTGGGTCAAATACTCATGTTACATCTTTCTGGTCCCTACTTCTGCCTTCCTGTTGCTCTCTGGGGGAAATTAATGAGATTAGATCAGCTCCCTCCCCCAAACATGTAATCCAGGATAATCTCTTCATCTCAACATCTCAAAGTCCATATACTTAGTCATATCTGGAAAATTCTTTTTGCCATGGAAGGCAACACATTCATACATTCAAGAAATATATTCAGGAACCATATTTTGTGGTAGCCTACCACAACCTCTAAACTAATCAAAAAGCTGATAGAATCCTATATTATTAACCATATATTATTCAACACATCACATCTATTCTAAAATTAAAGTGAAATTACTTTTATATACCTTTCATGTAAAACTACTCTGATAGAATATATGCTTTATAATAATAAACTTAAAGACTATATTCTCAGATATGCCAGTATATTATTAAGACGGGGAATATTTAGTAACTATGGATCTCAAGTTTCAACAGTTATGGTATTCAACTGTTCATAATTCAATGCTATCAAGCCTCCCAGAAACCCAGCAATGTCACACTGGAAATTCAACACAACCATAGGATTCCGAAAACTCCCTTCATCAGTCCAAATCACCAGGATTTAAGAGCTATTTGATGCATTTTCAAATTTCACCACTAGCACCATTTTGCCACTTTATTCACAGGTTACAAATACAGTTGCCCCATGGTATCCATGCAGGATTGGTTTCAGAAACCACCATAGACACTAAAATATGAAGATGCTCACATCCCTTATACAAAATGCTACAAAGTGTTCTCATTAACCTGTGCACATCCTATGTATTTAAATGATCTGTAGATTAGTAATATCTAATACAATGTAAATGTTTTGTAAATAATTATTTTAACATATTGTTTCATGAATAATGATAAGAAAAAGTTTGTGCATGTTCAATACAGAAGAAAACTTTCCTGGATACTTTTCACGCATGGTTGGTTGAATCCATGGATGCAGAACCCATAGACACAAAAAGGTCAACTGCATAGTACCACTATGCAGCGATGCACTTTTCTGTGGACATAGGTAACCAGAGACTGCAAGGACGATAAGGAACTAAGCAAGGAAGGTAAAGCAGAAATTGCTGGAAATCCCCCAGTACCCATTCCCTCCTTTCTCTTTAGTAATAGAAACCATTATTTTAGCTGAAACCATAGCCACCTTTCCTTGTGGCTACTTATTTTTCCATGAATAAATTTTTTCTAGGAGCATGAATAGAAGGGATATAGAAAACGTCTAGGTCATGCCTTTAAAAGCAAAACAACTTGCCTTCTTCTTCCATTTCTCCCCTACTTACTAGTGAACTATAAGTAAAATGTGAGAAAGGAAAGCTGTATTAGACTGTGAGATGGAAGCCACATGTTAAGAACATCAGAACAATTATATGGAAGGAACTAAAGTCCCTAACACCATGTAACACCATATTAACCTTAGCCTGCTCACTCTGGAACTGAAGGAAGAAATAATTTTATTTTTAAATTGTTAGCTTGGTCTTTCTTACAGCATTCAAACTTGTTTCTTATCTAATACAGGAAGTAGTACTAGTACAGAAATGCTATGTAACAAAAATATGAAGACTTGGATGCAGTTCAGTGGTAGAGCATGTGCTTGGCATGCCCAAGGCCCAAGGCCGTGTCCCCAGCACTGGGAAAAAGCCTCTAAAATATGAGGTGTTGGATTGGAAGTGGTAGAAACTGGCAAGGAAACCTGATGTGAGAAATCTGATGATCTTTGCTATGCCATGGAAAAATATTTGGTGCTTTGCTACATCAGATATCTTGGAAAGCAGACCATGACCGATCCTATAATTTTAGTAGAACTTAATGTCTCAGAATGTTGGCTTGTGTTGGATGCTACATATCATTTTGAGCAAAATCCTATTAAAATATTAAGTCAAGCTAAGTATTTCATACTAACGTTTTTTTAATGTACACATATGTTTTAAGCCATTTTTTAATCATAGAAAAATTAAGATTATTCTTTCATTGATGGAATAATCATAAGTGATAATGAGGACACCAACTGGCAGACTACTAACATCCTTCAGATTAGAGAATTAAATCACCACAGAATCAGTAAAGATGGCAAAAGGTAAAACACTGAGATTTAGTTTATGACTAAATTTGGGAGAAAACGAACAGGGAGGAGTTAAGATGACTCAAAATCTCTCAAAAGAATGAGTAGGAGTGCTTAAAACAAAACTGGTGATCAAAAAATAGTACTAGGATGGAACTGAAGAAACAGGGGTTAGAGGAAGAGAGAAAAAGATCAAGAAGGACAAAGAAAGAAGGCTAGGTACTTAACTTCTGCCATTAAAACTACTTACCATAAGTATCACTGTTACCAGAGAGTGAAAACATAAAAGAAAAATGCCAAATTGGAATGGAGATTCCTGTACCTGGTGGCTATACTTTACAACGAAAATGGATAACAACATCTTGCAGACAGATTCAGTTGGATACAAATAAGATAAATGGATGCTTGAAAGGAAAACTCATTTACCTCCTGGGAGACTCTACCCTGCGCCAGTGGATTGAGTACTTACCCAAAGTTATGAAAAGTATGTAGCTATTTTATAATCTTAGAATTCAGGCTGATTTTCAAGTACTTTTAATGAGATCTCTGTTCTCTCACTTGCACTGTTTTGTTGTTTACATCATTTAGCCTTCTATATTTGAGTCTTCTAATTTGAAATGATTTTGATCCCTCTTTCATAAGAAATGTTATCCCTCCTTATAAATTCCAATGAAATCTTTATATTTTGATTGACACTTCACACATATGAAATGGTAATCTACCCTATAGGGTAGAATGCCCCCCCAAAAAAACACACTCTGAGTATTATAAATAAGATATTCTTTTTAAATATATTAATCATTATCTTCTAGTTAAAGATCTGGTTTTTTTTTATCAGCACTGAAATTTTTTGATCTTCATGGAACTGGATATTTTAAGAAATATTTGCTAATGGATGCTTCAAGACATACTCAGATTCAATGGAAAAAACATAGCTATCCTTTTCTCACTGTTCAGTTCTACTCTGTGATAGATGATGGTTATATTGCTCGGGAAATTGACCGGATATTAGGCGACAGAAACACAGCCATCGTCATTACCTTCGGCCAGCACTTCAGACCCTTCCCCATCAACATGTTCATTCGCAGAGCCATCAATATCCGAAAGGCCATTGAACGACTGTTCCTAAGAAGCCCAGACACCAAAGTAATCATTAAGACAGAAAATGTCAGGGAGACATTGAACACAGATATAGAGAGGTTTACAAACTTCCATGGTTACATCCAATATCTTATCATGAAGGACATTTTCAAAGACCTCAATGTGGGTGTCATCGATGCCTGGGACATGACCATTGCATATGATGCCAATATGCTCCATCCACCTGATTATGTTGTTGGAAATCAGATTGACATGTTCTTAAACTACATTTGCTAAAGCACAAATACATAAAATAAGTAGGAACCAATCTCCACCAATTGGTTGTACTGTCCGTGTGTTCTGTCAATAAAGTTTTATTCATTTTAGGAACCAAGAGAATCAAATTTAAAAGAATCCACCTTGGCAGGAAAGACAATGACAACTGAGATGGGATGCAAAGCCAAGAAAATCAAACTTAAAGGATGACCACACCATGTCTGTAGCTTGTTTGTGTGTGATAATAAATATTCTTATTCTTTTGGCAACTCTGAGTCATGATTTTTATTACTTACTTGTGGCTAAAGTAACAGAAAGCATAAAAGAGAAAAATATGATTGTCATGGTGTTCTAAAACAGGAGTTATCTAACTTTTTTTTCTGTAAATGTATAGATAATATATATTTTAGAATTTGCAGTCTATACAGCCTTTGTCACAACTGTTCAACTCTGCAGTGTAGGACAAAAGCAGCTGAAGACAAAATGTAAAGAAATGAGAATAGTTTTGTTTACATAAAATTTTACTAATGGACACTGAAACTTGAATTTCATATAATTTATACACGCTAGAAAATATTACTTTCCTGATATTTTCCCAATTTTTTAAAAAATTCAGAAACCATTCTGAGATCTTGGGTGCTAAAAAAATGTGGAAGAAATATTTGGCCTCTAGGCCATACTTTGCCAATGCCTAATTTAAAACAAAATTTGGTAAAACTGAACAAAAAGTCTTTAAAGGCTGGAAGGAAGGGGGGACTAGTAACAAACTAGGAAAATAGGAGAAAAATCCCATAACATGTAGAAATTTTTCTGCCAGAAAGCAAATTATAAGCACAAGTGGAGTCATATCATAGCACACAGGAGATAATTCATTGGCCACAGATGGAAGAATTTCAGTAACAAAAAGAATAATACCTACAGATGATTAAAATATATAATGTATATAATCGATGATTCATAATGACACTGAAAAAAGAGAAACATGAAAAAGCAAAAACTAAAATGCTCATAAGAACTTCTGGGGCAAGATGGCAGGAGAATTATTTACATGACTCCATAAGTGAAAAGAGTCAGAGCATGACTACAACAGAATAGAAAAAGAGAGAGAGAACAAATTCCAGCAATCAAGAAAGATGTTACAGAAAAGCTCAAGTATAGAAAAGGAGAAAGGCAACTCACAGAAAACTATAAAGCAGTCTGCCACTCTAACACTGGATGACACAAAGATAGGTAAACCCAGAGAGTACTGGCAGCCCAGTGATAACAAATCAGCAGTTTTGGCTGCAGGAGAAATCTACAGTTCTTAGTGGTTTAAATTCAGTGGTCTGAAAGTGACTCCACAGCAAGCTAGCTTTACAGAAGAAATCCGTTACAAACACTCACTATTTTCAAGAGTGATATGACCAAAAGCCATCTTAAGAAGGAGTCTATTGGTGGTGTCTAAACTACTCTGTGGAGCAGAAAACAAAGAACAATCACAATTCTGGGTCCCTGGGGATGCCTTGCTACAGTGACTTCATGGGAGACAATGGGGGAGAAGGGGAGGGTCTGTCACAAATCTGCTGAGAAATTTAAGCAGCAGGGAGTATGGGCTATGAAGGGCACAGTGGTCAGTGGCCCTGCCCTCTGAGAGGAGTGAGACAGGTTGCATGTGGTTTTCTGTAGGAGCAGGGTCTGAGAACACCAAGACCAAGATTGGGAAATTGCTCAGTTCCTGTGACTCCCTACCTCCAGTGCAGAACTTGGTTGTCTGCTTCCCCCACACTGAGGCATTCAGGGATATGCTGCAGCCCAGACATTTTCCATGTCCCAGGGTTCACAGACTTAGGACTTCTGGAGAAAGTGAGTGCCTGTCCAATCTACATACTATGAAAGTTTGTATGGACTAGTGATTGCCATAAATAGACTGTGGAATGAATATAGCCCTGCCATGGAAAACATAACACTTAATTGCCCCAGCAGGAAAATTCATGGCAGAATTCAGACTACACACAGCACCAACTTCTCTAGTGGAAGCCGACAGGAGTAAAAATAGACCTCAGCTGCCACCCACTACTCCCCACACACTTGATGGATGCCAGTATTAGAGGAGCCAGAAAGAAGCTTTTCCAATCCAAGTAACTCAGGTAGGATGAAATTTTTTATTTACTTTTCTATTTCTTTATTTTTCCTTTCTTCTAATTTTTTCTATTTTATCTAACTTTATTTACTTGTTTTATTAGCCTTTAATTGGATTTTTCTGATTCTTTTCCTCGTTCTCATTTTCTTTTCTTTCTTCCTTTTTTAAACCTTGTTTCTTCTTTCTTCTCTTCCTATCCCCTTTGAATTATTTCATTGATCAGTTGTGCCCTTATTAATTTTTAACTTTTCAGCTTATTCTGTATTATTTTTGCCCCTTTCTTTTCTACTGTTATTGTGGTATAACTGATATGTGTAATTAGCTCTTATTATATTTCTATATCTGGTTCATTTTTAAACTTTTTTTTGAGGTTTGAACTCAGGGCCTCATGTTTGAGCCATGCAACCATGTTTGTTTTTGTGTTATAGTTACTGTGGTTTGTTTTCTCTGAATGGTACTAGTAATGAAGCACTCAAGAAAAGGCTGTTCATTAAGAAGACCTTCACATAAAAGCAGATATGCACAAATTTCAACATAGAAATTCAAGAAATATGGAAAAAGTCAACATGACTCTTCCAAAAGTTTATAATTCTTTAGAAACTGAATCCAACAGTATCAAAGTGAATAAAATGGTTGCCAAAGAATTAAAAAGATTGATTTTAAAAATGATCAGGAAATTCAAAGAGGATACAAATAAACAGTTGAATGAATTAAGGAAGACAATCCAGGATATAAAGCAACAATTCAACAAAGAAATAGGGTCTGAAAAAGAATCAAACACAAACCTTGGAAATGATAAGTTCAATAAAAACTCAGTTGAATGTCTTGCCAATAGACTAGATCAAGTGGAAGAAACAATATCAGAGCTTGAAGATAAAGTTAATGAATTATCACACTCAGACAGTAATAAAAAGAAGAAATTATGAATAGCATACATAAGACATATGGGACTCCATTAAAAGACCAAAGTATAAGTAACTGGTATAGATGAAGGAGCAGGGGTACTAGCTAAAGTGAAGTGTTAGCAGAAAATTTCCCAAATCTTGAGAAAGATGTGGACATCCAGGTAAATGAAGCATTTAAAACCCCAAATAGACTTGGACAAAAAAGAACCTCTCTATATAATATTATGGCCAAACGGCCAAAAGTACATAATTAATGAAGAATATTGAAAGTTGCAAGACTGGAGCACTTAAGTCACTTCAAAGGCAGGCCATCAGAATAACAGCAGGTTATTCTGCTGTTATTCAGCAGGTTATTCTCAGAAGACACTAAGCCCAGGATGGTATGGGATAATGTGTTACCCAGGAGTCACCTGCCCCAGAAGTGGAGTTTCAGAGAAAATGTCTCAGAAGAAATAACATAAAAAATAACAAAGGAGGGCTCAGGGAGGCAAAAGTGGGGATAGAGAAGGAGCAATCCAGAGGGAAGAAAAATGTTTCAGAGGGAACTGCACATACAGAAGGGACCTTTTACTGTGCAGCTCCTTGCCTTGTATGGCGTTTTGTTTTCAAATGATTCATAAAATATTGCCTGCACTTCAATTAGGGTTAATTGTATGAATTATTTTTACAATGTCAGGATTTCACAAGGTTAAAAAATAGTACTTTCTCCACTTAGTAAGATCTCTCACAATTTAATTGATCTCAGGCCAGAACACAGCCTGAAATTGCCTGGTGATATATTTGGGTAGGGAGGTTTCTTCTTCAATTGGGAAAGATGTTAATATTCCTTCAGTTTAACCATAACTTTTTAACCTGAGAGATAAATATGAATGAAATGGGCAGAGTTAAGCCTATTGCATCTTGTGCCTCCTACTGCATTTTAAACGACTCGAGTAGGATCTTGAATGCTCTATCTTGCCTTGAATATCCCTAGTACACTTAGTGCAAGACAGACTCTAGAATGTTTGGGAAAACAAGGGATAGATAGTTCAGGACATTGTAAAAAAAAAAAAAATCATGGTTCCTAAAATGCCTACATGTGTTTTCAAATGCCACTCTCCTTCCCATGTGAACCAGCTGGGTCTTGAAGATGGAAAACAGTATCATTACCCAAAATATTTCAGGTCAGGAGGACTGACACTTTCCACTTTGTATTACAGCCTCTAATCCCCTGTGTTTCCTATGCTCTCAATCTCATTACACCTCCCAGAAATTTTGAATTCAGTCACAAAACCAATAAACAAAAATGGATAGAATACCTGCTATGTCCCGGGCACGGTGTCCTGTTTCTTCCATTTTCTTATAGTTTATCAGACTCCTTCTTGTCCCAATTTCTTTTTCTTCCCAACCTATGCCCTGTAGTTAATTTGAACCACTTTTAAATTCATCGAACATGTTTTCCTCAAGCACTGATCTTTGCCAGTACCTGGATGGAGAAGACTTCTGCTGTGTAAGACCCTGATCCATGTAACCACTATGAAGTAGCCAGGAAGAGCACAGTCTTTTCTGTAAGGGAAGCAGGACTTCAGATACAATTACAATTAGACAGGTAGGATACTTTCCTATAACAAGTACCTGAGTCATTATAGAGTCATTGTAGCTAAGAGTGAGCCTTGCAGTCTCATCAACACATACTAGTTACCATCTTTGTTCTCCCAAAGGCCACAATTCCTATCAAGGGACCTTCTCTACACAGCTACTTACTTTGGTCCCTCAGGCCTAGGGACAGATGGCTCCCTGCCATTGCAACCCCTCCTTCTCCCCCACCCACAAATACTGCATCACCCCTTACAGGTTTTCTTAAACCCTGCCCTTTGTTAAACTCACCAAGGCAGAGCTGAGCCTCCATTTGTTTCCTGCTAAGACCCTGACTGAAAATTCACATGCAATTGTACTGAAAAAGGTGTTCTCAAAACCAAAAGAAAGCACTGTGGCTGGAATTAATAGCCAGAGAATCA